GCTTTTGTTCAGATATTAGTCGAGTTTATGCTACAATACGTTGTGAGTATAAATCTTCAGACTAGTGGAGCMAGATATCTTTTTATCTAGTAGCTAAATCGGCAAGTTTAAGATTGATAATTTTGGACGCTTTGTGGGCACTCTGTGGGCACAGTACATAAGAATTCACTTTCGAGAGAAATGAGTTCTTATAGAAATCCCATGGGTTTCTAACCAAGTCGTCCCTGCTTTATTCTTAAGCAAAGCTTACACCCATACCCATCTTTTAATATCAAAGGTTTATTTCGTATTTTTTACGCTTTGCACCAATCAAAACTCAAATATTTTCTCAACCCGAAACATTGTTCAAGAAGTTCATGAAAGTCTCTGATTCTCAGTAAGTCCGGTCCCTGTGGAAACGATCTTGGTACTATACCACTTTATTACTTGAAGCGATCTTAGTGTCGGCGTGCACTTGCACCGCCACTTTGGGGATTTTATGCCCACTGTGTGCACACTTACGATTTTAGCACATCATCTACTCAAGATTCAGCATACACTGAAGAAGCCTCAAATGTTATTTCAGTGTTAGCGATAAAATGAATCTTGTTGGTCAAGATTAGTTTTTGTCTTATCCTCTTGTACACAAAAAACCAACTCATACCTCTCAAAGTAAAACACTCGTATGGAGTCACCCTATCGTCTCCAAACGTGTTTACCTACTTTGTGAAAGACCATTGTTCATATACGGCTAAAAGCTTGTATATCTAAAGACAAAGAACAAGCTCACCTCTAGAAACTCGCCACGTGCCTTGTACTGTCTGAACTGCATTTAATGCACTGGACATAAAATAGCCATGAAGGATCCCCTATTAAAATCGTAGGTATTGGGTTGATATTCGGTAACTATCATTTGAAACCAACCCAACGAACCCAAAATCTTTTCATTTCTTAGATTCAATATGATTGTTGAGTCTTTATTGATATATACTTACATACAAATATACTATTACGTACCCTCTTCATATACATATATTTTCAATTTATTCCCATCTCTATATAACACAATTTTTTACATAATATTCCAAGTATTTTTTTCATATTGACCATATAGATTTTCAATACTACCAATGCATTTATAGATTTTACAAATGACATCAATAGAGTAAGATTCATACGACAACTGTAACCAAATAAGAGAATAAGAAAATGGTCGATCTCATGTGATTTTACACTAAAATCACATGTGATTCACGCGACCTGAGGTATGGGTCACGTTGCTCACACACCCTTGCATTGATGGTGTAAAATCACATGATTTTGTACATGATTTGCTCATTTTCATGTTCTTTTATTTGGTTATTGTTTTCGGTCATTGCCTCTATCAGTGGCACTTCTCTCACAATTTTGATCGGTAGAAGATCACATTCATCATCAATAATTATATTATACAAAATAATACATATAGCCATCGTATCATGCAACACGTTTTTGTTTTCAAAATTTAATCCTGCCACAGTTATAAATCTTATCATGTTGTAAATTACTAAAAATTGATACTTTTTAAAAAAAATCAGTAAAATTAAATTTAAAAACTTGAAGGTTAATAATTATAATTTAAGGAAATGTTAAAAGAAAATGAAATAAAAGTAAAAATACAAAACTCTTAAAAATTGAAGGACCATTTTATAAATATCAAAAACTTTAACATAACAAGTAGTGTTAAGGGCATTTCCAAATATCACATACACATTTATTTTCTTTTTAATAAAAGAGAACTTTACCAATTAAAATTATTCACAACAAAAGAAAAGAAAATGGTAGATGCCACTTTTTGGAATGCTCCTATTGTACCAGTCCTACATTCATTATAGGGTTCAACAATATAATTTATTTTGATACGTAAGATTTTAGTACATCAAAACATATCGAATGCAACAAGTTACTGGGTAAGAGTCGCTATCCTTACTTACCGGGTAAGACTTTATCATTTTCATTGCTCTTACCCGGTAAGATTTTTGGCCCATCTCTTGTTCATCCGATAAGGAAATTTATCTGGTAAGCACTTACGAAGTAAGTGTTTAGTAAACGGCCCCTTAATCATAACTGTGAAGACTCCATATATAGATTATCCGTCTTATCAATTACACACAACAAAACTGCTTGCATCATCTATTCGTACACGCTTTATTCTATTGTTTTGTTTTATTAAGGCTTTATTTGTTTTTACAGAAGTAGCTCACACTAGTCATATCAATCACACCAATGTGGCTTTCATATGTGAGTTTATCCATTATTCATTTCACTTTTCAAGGACAAAACTTCGTATGAATATGCTTCATTACGTTATATTTGTGTGTGTTAAATTTGATATTCACAATGAATACATAACCCTTGAAAATATTGACGATGATCAACTCTCGGGACAAGTCTTATCAAGATTTAAATGGATGGTTTGTCCGTAGGTCCCAGTTTAGGGTTTGTCGATTTTGGTAGTTTTCCTCCGCTCATATGCAACGATGAATGATATTTCAGGTCATGGGTGTTGTGGCTCCACAAAAAAAATTATGTTACCTTGATTTCAATTTGTATAGGAAAATTTGAGTTTTATTGCTTAACGAGGCTCCATCTATAGTACACTATAAAACATTTGAGATAGTTTAAAAAATCATTTTTTATGCATCAAATACTGTTTATTGATGCATATTACTTAAAATTCAAGATCATAAATAAATGTTGCATGAATACAGTTTTTTAAAGCTACATGTTTGAGTGCATATAACTAACTGATAAATATCCATATTCATCATGGACATGTACATAATTCTTTTTACAATATTCATCATGAATATGGACATGCGACAAGTTCTTGGTGATTCTCCAGTTCTTAATGAAAATGAGGTTCCTAACAAAACTAAATGTAAATATATAAATATATACACCACAATGTAGCACATCATTTTTGAACAGACAAGATTATAATCAATACTAAATGTAATAACAAATGTAGCACATAAACAATGTTTACGGGGTTCTTCATATTGAAATGTAGAACATAAACAATGTTTACGGGATTCTTCATATTGAAATGTAGAACAAAAAACGATTTTACCTAATATTTTGTTAGCATCCATCGATTATGTATATGGTTCCACTTGCGATCGACTCTAGGGTTTAGGTAAATCGTGTGCTTCTCGAAAACCAGGCAGTATCTTCATTCTATTTTGGATTCGGATTGAAAAGTGTATATTAAGAATATTAACGGATTTGTAGTGCACGCTCAAATCCGGCTCAATAAATTAAAAAAATGACCATCTTGCCCTTCTTTACATTATGTCATTAAATGTCAGTAATTTATTTTTGGAATTACGTTAATTAAGATTCCTTTCAATTTCAACCATTGATTATTAGGATGTGTGGTTGAGATTGGATCTCACGGTTACCACAAACAAAACAGTTCTCATTTGATTAAGCCCCCCTATATATGTATATAGGGGGTTCACGTGAGACCAGTTTGTTTTCGTAAGACCCCTGTGACCACCATTTTACACTTAAAATTTCACAACAAAAACACTGTGAAGGTAAAAAAAATCCAAACCTTTACAGCATTTTACTGTGAAGTTTCAAGTGTAAAAAAGTGGTCTCACGGGTCTCACGAAAACAAGTTGGTTTCACATGATCCCAAGTATATATATATATGTATATATATCCCGAGGTAGAGCACTCAATGGGCTAGGGTGGCCCCATTTCGCCTTACCAACCCCAAGGAAACTCCGAATATAGGCCTATATATATAGAGAGAGAGGGAGGGAGAGAGAGAGAGAGCGCACATGAAAACCATGATCAACGTTTATATTAGAAAATAATCGAGATATTTATGAAATATGATCAAGGTTCATTCATCATTATTGAAATATTTATGAAAGATAACTATAATTCATTCATTATGATCGAGATATTTATGGAATATGATAAAGTTATTCACTATATGATCATTGTTTTAAATTATGAAACAAACAAAATATCTATTAGGTTAAATGAACAGTTAAGATTGATTTATAAATTTTTCATGGTCTGTATTTGAAACTCCTTATATATTATGATCTTACTGTAGCGGAACATCTCGTCTACTCCAGGTTCAAACCCCATTGTAACAATGGAGATTCATGTGCAATGACTTTAGGCCATTTTTGATCGTCTAAAAAAATCGATTAATGCATATAAACTGATCCAAAAACCAATAATTACATATTAATTAGTGCGCATAAACTGATCTGTCAGATACATTTTTGGCCAACAAAAGATGTAAAACAAAGGGTAAGAAGAAAAAGGATGAAGCATTTTTGGGGTAATTTTGTCATAAAAAAGTGGAAGGCTGATCAAACATATTTTTGATATTGGGGGTCTTATTAAGGATAGAAGCTTTAAATTTCCATTTGGGGTATAAACAACGGGGTAGGCCTACCCTACAGCCGCACCCCATGGAAGCCCCATACGTCAGCACAAATCTACCGTTGATACTAACAAAACACTAAGATCAATCACTTTCCAGTCACAATCACCTTCAATCAATTCGAAGCTCGCTCGTGAAACAGAGACGACAATTTTCTGCCAATCTACATACCTCCATCGATCAATTTGAATGCGATCTCTCGGAAATCCTACCTTTTCATTATCCCTCTGTTTAATTTTTCTCTATTTAGGGTTTTGAGTTTGATCTCGGCTGTTATTACAATTGCAAGAGCTCGCCGGTTTAACTTTTGGTAATTTGATCTATTTGAACCTCATAATTTAACTGCATGAATGTTGAACGTCACTGCTGTTTATGTAGGGTTCTTGATTAATTACGTCAATTCTTTCTTCTCGCTTATGTTTATGTTGTTAAATATTTGGTAAAAGTTAGTTCCTTTTATCACAATGAAAGTACGATGTTTGTGTGGTGTGGTATCACCTTCGACTTTGATGAATGGTAGTGCCATGTTGTTATGCCATGTTTTTGTATCTGAATTCGACCAAATTCCTAAATATGGTGATTTAGGAAGTTTTATTTTCTTACTGTGTATAGGAGTCTCTAAGGTATGTTTTCAGAACTCCAGTTTAAATGTGCAAAAGTAGTGCTTCAATTCCAATTCAAAGCCTATATGGTTCCTAATATTTTTTTTGTTCTTTCTATCTATTAATGTGTGTGTTTCAAATCCATTAATAGGATGGTTGTAGGATATATAAAGTGGTACTCATTTGAGTAATGGGAAGCAGTGAGATGGATAAATCCATCAAGGAGGCAAAAGACACAACAAAGGAGCCAAAGACAACGAATTCCCAAGTGAATTTCTTTCTTTTTGTCCATGTTTAGGTTTAGAGAGCCGTTGTTGTGCACACATTTTCTATATTTCTATATTTATATAGGTATCATGTACCTTGGTAATATGTATTTGTCCTTTTTACTTTGTTCAGGAGCAGGCTTCAGGTGCTGCCACGGGTACAGTCAATCCAGATTGGACTGGGTTTCAGGTTCCACCTCAAAAAAATTTCAACTTTAACAAATTGGTCTTCTTAAGATTTGAGATATTTTACTAAGCCTAGGTGGTATGTAAACCTTGAACAGCCTTATCCTCCTATGCCTCCACACGGGTTCTTGGCGTCAAGTCCTCAAGCTCACCCCTACATGTGGGGGGTTCAGGTACTACGCTTTAAAGTTCTTTTTTTAATTTAGGGTCCATGTATATATTTTTTACATTACTCTATAAAAGGGAACAAAGAATCAGCTTTGTTGCATGTTTTTTATAGAAGACTGTTTTACTTTTTTGGGCAACCTGTTAAATTTTCTGATTGAACCTTTAAACTAGTTGGTAAGCTTAGGTAGATGATGTAGTTTGGAGGTTGGTAGTGGTGATGCTTATTTGATCATGCACTGTATCATCACATGATATCATGCACTGTTATTCAGTATCATGATGCTTTCTAAAAGCTTTACTTGCCCATTTTGGCCATGCATTTGTGGTGCTCAACATCAACTATTATATGGCAACTTCATTCTCTATTAACTGTATAAGATCTGCTGATGTCCTTAGTATGTCGGATTAGGCATTTTGATATTGTTGAGCATCAGGCAATTTCTGGTTTCTGCTATTTCAATTGTAACAATGGTGTGCCACTTTAAAAGCTGACACCTAGATACCAATATATTAATGATTTTTTACATGAATGTTTTGCTGAAGGCAGTAAGTAAGATGTAAAATTTATATTGCATGATTGCTAGTTTTGGGTGAATGGTTGGAATATATAATTATGGTGTATGGGCAAGGGGAAATATTATTGTATCTTAGTGCAAGAATGCCGAAAGTGAAGAGTTCCAGCTGGACTGTATATAGCTAAGTATCTAGGCTGGAATTGTGAGGCCTATTATGTTTTCCGGAAACTCTAATCTTCCATGGAGCCATGTTAGATATGCTCTTCCTTTAGCATTGTAATTGTTATTGATGTTGACTATCACAACTTCTCTCACTTTTTACTCATGTTTACTTATCTGAATTCTTCTAAGCTTTTCAAGCATCTCATCATCTTTTAGGTCCATTTCTTTCAGTTTATGAATGCATGATTAGCTTCTTTTTTTATTATTTCTAGTTTTTCCCAAATCAAATTCATCATTTTCATTTCTGCTATAGCATACAGCTTTGCTCTATGAAGAAACTGAGTTAAGCTTTTATCCGGGACATAAAAATAACATGCTTTAAGCCTTTATATTGCTACCTTGGGTGGAATGAATTGACGAGATTTTGGAAAGTTGGCATGATTCACTGCTTAACTTTTACAAAATGTATTTGTCATTATTGAGGTGTTAGACAACAAATATCTCCCCTCTAATGGATATGCCATTTTTCTTGATGTTCCAAATTAAGGTTAATATTGTCTTAGGGTTTAGTATAATTTCTTTGTAGCTTGAATTTGGTAATGACATGAACTTCTACATATTTGAAAAGTATTTAGCTACTTTCAGTCACTTTCGATTTGTTTCTGCTGTTCTGACATCTATGCACATTTGCAGCATCTTATGCCACCTTATGGTACTCCACCTCATCCATATGTTGCTATGTATCCCCATGGTGGCATATATACTCATCCATCTATGCCTCCGGTATCTCCTTGTTTATTATAATGTATTAGTGTACCAGATCCCTTACTAGAAGACAATAATTGTGAACCTCGTTTTGTATTTAACCAGGGATCATACCCTTTCAATCCATATGCAATGCCTCCAAATGGGGTTACGGAGGCTTCGGTGAGTCACCTTAGTTGATATAATTTCTGGATTCTCTAGACTGAAAGACCTGTTGACAGATTTAACTTTTTGAGGATGAAATTTCAATTTCATGTAGGGTAATACTCCTGGCAATGTGGAAGTCGATGGTAAGTCATCGGATGGGAAGGAAAAACTTCCAATTAAAAGGTCAAAGGGAAGCCTGGGCAGTTTAAATATGATTACAGGCAAGAACAATGAACCGAGTAAAGCAGGTGCATCTGCCAATGGAGTTTATCCTAAAAGGTAATAATGAGTACATCCTTGACTTTAGTTATGTGTTTATACAATTGAAAGTTGCTCTGCGTTACTGGCTTACTGCCTCTGGAATTAGTTCTATTTTATTTTTTATACCAGTTAATTTTTATTGACCTTTCTGATACTCTAGAGATGTGTTAATAATAAAGAGGACCACTCAATAATTTAAGAAATAGAAAGTTGTTCCTGAAGACTCTTCCCTCTTTGAATAGCAATGACTTCCATCTTGTTCACTGCAATGTGAAACTCACTTGAAATTTTAGTATGTGGTCTGATACCAATTTTGTCTTGTGGGTTTAATAGTTCTAGTTCTCATGGTTTTCCTGTCTTGGAGAGCTTGGATTGCTCATGGCAGCAAATGCTGCTTTGATATGGTAACTTATACATGTTAAGTGGACTGACATGCTTTGCTTATATTGGATTTTCAGTGCTGAGAGTGGAAGTGACGGTTCAAGCGAAGGAAGTGATGGGAATTCCGAAAATGTAGGTGTTGTTGCTCGGTACTTGTTTAAATGATGCAAGTGTTGGATGATTTTATTGGGCCAAACTCTTTTAATCAAGCCACTTGTTACATGTGCATTTTAGGGTGAGAATTATAGAAGCTATCTACAATCATGACATGATTTTCCAATCCCTGGAGATTATTGCACTGTATTGTATGTGATATTGTATTATTTTAATGTAGGCGATCTATGTAAAATGCTTAATTTTGGTAAAAGGAAATAGCATTCATGGCTCATGGTGCAAGGTTAGAATCAACTCGTCAATGAGCCATATTGCGGTGCTGTTTCACCTGTGAATCCTTTTCTAGGACCAGCAGAAGTGAAAAACAAAACAAAGATGAAAATGAATCACATTCATTCATAAAAGATCTACTTCAGAAGGACAAAACAAAATTTATATAAGTTGCCTTTTCAATGCAAAAAATAGAGAACCTTTTATTTTAGCAAAACATGCCTTCGTCGTAGCCACTTCCAAATTTGTTTTCTATATCATTTGGATAAGATGGCACCACCTTACTTGCAGAAACTAAGAAAAAGGTTACTGATTCTTAATGGTGATGATGGAAGTCCCAAGCTGTCTAATCTGTACAGAACTCTCAAAATGAACTGCTGTTTTGTGTGTGGATGAGAGAGGAGAGAGAGAGAGATTGAAGAAGAAGAGTAGCTTGTTAGATTGCATTTCCCTCTCCAACAATTTATGTTACGGTGTTGACGTGTTGTACGTATGTTATGTCAGTGTGTGTAGTTTAGAAATAGAAACGCAAGAAGACATTACTATTACTTTATTGTTATGTTTATGACTTATGGGATAGAAAAGCGTTCATTGTTTTTCGTGTTTAATTTTGTCTTTGTGTATACCATAATGTGTTCCGTCAAAGAAACTGGACTTAGGACCACTTTGCAGTTGCATATTATGCAATTCATGTAATGGCATTCGACTCAGGACTTGCAATTCTGTTATCTTGGTATGAGTAGCATTAGTTTTACATATCCTATTGCGTTCTTTATGTAGTCTATTGCATGACTATTGTCGTTAGGTTCAATAACATGTTTTTTGAATTATAATTTTGCAGGATTCACAAATGAAATCAGGATCCAGGCAAGATTCTATTGAAGGTTCGGTTCTGTGTCTTAGTGTCCAATGATATTACTTTTCTTTTACTTTCTGTTACTGAAACAACTGCTATTATGATGATGATGATCTTAGTTACAGGGGAAGCTTCTCAAAATGGAAACTCTGCACATGGTTCTCAGAATGGAGGACCAAATGCACCTCATTCAGTGGTCAACCAAACAATGCCGGTCATGCCAGTGTCGCCAAGTGGTGGGCCCGGAAGTATTCCTGGTCCCACCACCAACTTGAATATTGGTATGGATTACTGGAGTGGTACAAATTCATCCAATATTCCTGCAATCCGTGGGAAGGTAACTTCAGCTCCAGTTGCAGGGGGGATGGTTACTGCTGGGTCAAGGGACAGCATGCAGTCACAGCTCTGGCTACAGGTGCTTCTATCTACTTCTTCTCATGGATTAAATCTCATTACACCTAGTATCCTGAATTTTTGTTCTTCTCATCTTGTGATATGAGCAATAAGCCATTTTTCCTTTCATGGGATATGAGCAATAAGCCATTTTTTCGTTCTTCTCATCTTGTGATATGAGCAATAAGCCATTTTTCCGTTCATGGGTGGTGTGAAGTTATATATAGTCCATAACTTGTAACTGAGCCTGGTGGTAGATGTTCAGTCCCTTAAAAATGCATATCAACGGATTACATGATTGGGCCACAAATATCGTGCTAAATGATATATGGATGTATTAGTTTCATTGAAGATCTTACGTTTGAGCTTCCCATCTTAACAAAAAAGTCTTACTGAATTATTATTTCCTTCAGATACATTTTATTTATGTAAGGGACTGTTTGTTAGCAGTTTAATGAGCTTAACGGGACTTGCAGCTTATTCAGTCAGCTATTCATGACTGTTTGCTAGGGCAAGGGTCCAGATCTTCTGCGGGAATGATTTGGAAGGCAGTAATGGGAAATTTTTCGCATAATGATATAGAAAGTGGCTTATTCAGTAAGCTTCTAGGGGGAGCTTATGCAGAAAGCCATGTTTTTCCCAAACCTGCCCTTCCCAATTAAAACATGCTCATTCCATCTAATGAAAAACCCTCCCAAACAAAAACCTTCCCAATCTATGTAGACAGATTAATCCACACAGACAGCTTTATCCATACAGGACTTAATGGAAAACCAAGTGTGTGTTTTGGTGATTATATAGGGCTTCTTGTGCTGTAGGCGGTTACTGAAATTGAAATAGAAGTTTTTGTGTGGCCTGTTCTCATCATCAAAGTTAATCTTGTCATCTTATAGAAATTCCTGCTACTTATGCCTATCAATCGACTTGAAAGATAGCATGCAAACTCACAGTTGATCACGATGAAGGCTGACTGAGTGGCTGGACTTTTATGGGTATTTTTATCAATGCAATCTTTAATGTTAATGGACCTTCTTAAACCTGTAAAGTTGTACTATAACCTCTAACAAATTTAAATCAACAAATTATGAGCATTAGAGATTTTGTTGATTATGTGTAGTCCATACAATATATTTCAGGCGTTTCAGTTATAATCATATACATCATCATCTTTTTTAGTTATTATTTATATGATATTTGTAAGGATATTGCAAGATGTTCTTCATTATAGCATACCATATAGTATGGATGACGAGAATTTGAAAAGGATAGGTTTTTTTTTTGGTTGGGGGGGGGGGGGAGTAATTGGATAATCACCCAAACATAAGATCTCTTGATTAGCGATCTCATGACAGTTGGATACAGTCAGAATAAAGAATGGGATAAGAACTCTTACTTTCATTGTAATTTAAAATTCATTAAAATTGCTTGGGAGTAGAACTCTATTTATAATGATTGGAAACCCTAGTACTACTTGGAACAAGAGAACAAAAAATAGACTGAACCTAACTAATAAACAGTTAAATAGACTAAACTACCATACTTTTTTTTTTGTAATTTCAGTAAGTCCTACGTAAGTGAAAATTGAGTTGAAACCAAATAACAATCTAATACTATTACAGGTTGCCATAATTATTTGATGCTTATCATGCTAAGGGGCTGTTTGGTTGGTTTTTGATTAAAGTCATGTATGGATAAAGCTGTCTCTGTGGATTAATCTGCCTGTATAGATTGAGAATGTTTTTGTTAAGCGTTTTCTTGTAATTGGGAGGGCCAGGTTTGACTAAAAACTTTGGTTTTCTGCATAAAACTCTCCCCTGAAAGCTAACTAAATAAGCCACTTTCTATATCATTACGCTACTACCAAACAGTCATGTGTAGCTGACCGAATGAGCTGCGAGTCCCATTAAGCTCATTAAGCTGCCAACAAACAAGCCCTAAGTTGGGTTCTGAATTCTATGGGCTTTCTTTTCTTTAGATAAGCTAATATTTTTGCTGGATCAGAAGCACTTATCAAGTACTTTTTTCTCATTATGCTAGGCGAGTGTTGTTATCATTTTATACAAATCTTACTCTTTATATTGTGGAGATGTTGAAACCAAAAGAAAACATGTACACAAGTAGAGTATCATACGTGAACAGTGTTCTAGTAAGGGTTAAACGAAGCTAAACAATCGGCTAACCTACCAGTGTTTAGCCACCTCAATGGAGTTTTTGTGGACAGCTAAGAGCATGCCTTAAGAAGTGGTACAAAAGTTGTTACTTTTTTATATAAACTTATGAAGGTTAAACTTTTGATACTATATTACTCCCTCTGTCCCAAATCAAGTGTCCACAATGGAAATGGCACACAATTATAGACATACATAATTGTTATACTATTTAGTTAACCAAATGACAACTTTACCCTTAATTAATTTATTTGTCTTATCAACTCTTAAATATTTGTGCATTAATTAAGGGTAGATTTGGAAATTTAATTATTTATTTTTGAAACTAGACACTTATTTTTGGGACAAACATAAATAGAAATATGGACATTTATTTTGGGATGGAGGGAGTATTTGGTACAATTACTTTACTATATTCAGAAGGAATTGAATAAATTACCTGCAATGTTTTACTATATAGACAGTGTGTATCAGGACACAGGGTCTTTCTGTAATACACAGGAAGAATTTCATGTTTGCCCTTAACTAACTGATTTTCTTTTGCTTTCATTTTTTAATCTCTAAAGCAATTTTTACATCCTATTTTGTAGTTTTTCATTTGTAATCTTTTAGCTGACTTTTCTCTATTAAATCTACTAAAAAGTATTCTTATTAGATGCCTGATGAAAAAAATGAATGGCCATTTTATGTACAAATATATCGAGTAGTGACTTGTGGTGAGTCGAAACCATTTTTTTTTCTTCGTTTCATAAATATTCAATGTGGTTCTGAATTTATTCACCAACTTTGCGAACGAGTGCATACGCCTAAATAAATTTTGAAGTTGTAGACCGTTGGACTCCGAAGAGTCAATTGAGACCCCTATTTTGGAGCACAGAGAGCAAAATTTCAAGTTCCTTTTTTTGGCACTTGTATGCATTTTATGGATTATGCCATTTTCTGGTAGCCCGCAAATCTCAATGAAGTTTTAACTTGTTAGGAAGCACAAGTGAAATTTTATATGATGGGTTTTTCCAAATCTTATTGCTTGATGGTTCATAGCAGGATGAAAGGGAGCTAAAACGACAGAGAAGGAAGCAATCCAATAGGGAATCTGCTCGTAGATCCAGACTGCGCAAGCAGGTAACAGATTTCTCCTTCAGTCTGGGTTCATTTGAGAACCGCGAGAAGAAATATTCATGACGAATATCATGAAAAATGAAATGCATGATATTCAATTATTCATGATGGAATGTATTCTAATGAATATATAGGTATATTCATCATGAATAATTCATGGATAGTTGGTTCTCATGGTTCTCAAAATATTTGCAGTTCCCTAGATGAACTTTCTGTTTCTGATTCAATATCAACTTCTACTACATCCGTTATTTTTATGTGGGGTCAGGCGGAATGTGATGAGCTGGCCCAACGGGCTGAAGTTTTGAAGGAAGAGAATTCTTCTCTTAGAGCAGAAGTGAGTCGCATTAGGAGCGAGTATGATCAGCTTCTTGCTCAAAATGCATCCCTCAAGGTAATACCTGAGCCTTCACTTGTACCATTCACTCCGTTTTCTATAAGCTGATGACTGCCTCTCTATATATTTGCTAATCTTCTGTGATAAAAGAACCAGTCTTGTTTGTAGTTAAATTATGCTCCATTCTTCCCAAATGAGGGAAGAGATGAATTTACTCTTCTGGACTCTAATCAATGTGAATGCCAAAAGAACACCTATATTCAACTACGGGCCTGTTTGTTATCAGATTAATGGGCTTATTGAAACTCACAGCTTATTCGGTCAGCTATACATGACTGTTTGGTAGTGGCTTAATGAAAGAGAAAGTGGCTTATTCAGTAAGCTTCTAAGGGGAGCTTTATGCATAAAACCGTTTTTTTCAAACCTACCCCTCCTAATTAAAAATATGCTCTTTCCACTTACGAAAAAACCCTCCAAACAAAAAACATCCCAATCTATAAAGACATATTAATCCATATGGACAGCTTTATCCATATAGGAATTGATGAAAAACCAAGTTTAAATTGACCCTACATCTAACATATGATTTATCAATAACCCCTTCTAGAAATGTCTGGTTTGACCAAGGAATTAAAAGAAAGGGTTATTTAGGAGAATAACTTTCCGGCAGATTTGTTCCAGAGGCACAAATAAGGACGTCCCTGCCTAACAGAAGAATGTCTCTTCTTAAATCTATCCCCAAAATTGTCAGAAGGTCATGCATTTTAAAAAATCTGATAAAAGGTCAAAAATCTATTAGAAGGTTCTCATAAATAACCCGAGTCGGCAAGGAGAATTACCTGGGGATGGGCCTGATGGCACTTTGTGCCTGATCTAATACACGTGTTCGACTATTAGTCAAATCCCTAAATTATCCTTCAAATATGACAAAACAAAGGATTTCAGGGACCAATATAATGCTATTTGCATTTTGTAATGATTACTATCTACTAATCAACAAAGAGATCAATTTGATTGGAACTTTGCAAAAAAGGAAATAAAATAAAAACTTCTTGTTCAATGTTTGATGAGACAATAGAATGGTACAGGACAGGGATTGAGCGGGACAAAAATGCATTTTTTTATGCCATCAGATTAAAAAATTATTAAACCACCCATGTCAAACTAAAACCCTAAAACCTTCCACAATTCTTTCACCTCCCTACCTCACTCTCGCCTGCTGGGTCCTGTCTAGTTCCGTCCTTGTACCAATCGCATAGGGCCACTGGAGGTTTGCCTGACTATTATTGACTTTAGGGCCCCACGGGATTAGTTTAGATGTGCACAAGCTGACTAAGACACATATAGTCATCCAAAACATATGTAACTGAAGCAACAAGTTTCCATCGTCAAGTGAAGACAACTGTATACAGATAAAGTGAACAGAAAACCGATGCTTACGCATATATGCATTGAATTGCATTGTTACAATGTCGTTTTTGCAGGAACGACTAGGGGAAACTCCTGGGCGAGAAGAAGTAACGTCTAGTGGTATTGAACAACAAAAGGGACCCAAAGGTCATCAAGATGGGCAGACAGAACAACTTGTGCAGAGTCGTGAATGAAGTTCCGGCTGTCCGGTGTCTTCAGAGAGCTTAACCTAACGACAATTAGCAAACAAGAAAAAAATGTGTTTTTACATAGTAGTATCAATCAGCATCTAGTCGGGAATTCATTAAAGGCTGACCTTCTCAGCGTGTCGTAGAATAACTATCAAATTAATTGTCGTCATCCATTGTTCTCGATCGGCCTATCTTTTACGGCCCAAAGAACCCGGATGATTTGTAGACTGTAGTGTGAAAATTCATGCCATACCCTTGTATTCCTAAAAAGGGTGCTGGTCTCTAATTATTTCAACATTTTATGTACTAAATATGGTTGATAAATGTGATTGTGGTTTGTTAAGTTGTTCTTTTACATGTATTATCACCAGACAAAACATAGGTAGCCACTTTTTTTCTACCCCATTTTGATCTCGATCTGGGGTCGATGAAAAGTGACCCGTATTGACAAAATGGAAAAACCGAATGGATCAGACCAAAACTGGTTATCTTTTGTTTGGTTTTCGGTTCTTTTTAGGGTTTACAGGTTTAAAAGAGTAATAGTTTTCGATCTGGTTTAGTTCGAAGCTAGAGGTTAGAGTCACACCTATTTATTAGAATGACATGAAATCATCGCGGTGACTCCTGATGGCAACTTGAGTTTTGCCAACATTTCAATTTGAACCCCGGGAATTTTAGATTTTATCAGTTTTTCCAAAATGAAGAAAATAAGATAGATACTGTCCAAAATAGAATGTTAAATGAGAGACAGAAAAATCATTTTTTTATTGTTTCTACAATTGAAATTTTAAAAGTTTGTTGGGATATTAAATAAACTAAATATTATATTAATATGGTTAATGTTAAAAAATTATTGGAGTTAAATTTAATAATTTTTTGGAATTTTTGATTTTTTTGTTTTGATTAACCTGGATATCTAATCCGACTAATCTCAGGACAACCACCTACTTTGCAGATAGCCCAGAGTCACCGTATTTGAACCTCCGTGGCCGTAAGAGGATTTTTATTCCTTCTTGGATTTGAACTTAGAACCTCCAGGTATTTTTGACCTTTGAAGTCAAGTTCAACCTAATCAAACACCACCCTTGTAATTAGATTTGAACCTTGAATTTTTTATTGTTTCTTCTCCATTATAAAGAAATTATGGATAAACTATCGGAAAAGCTCTTTACGAAGAATCTATATTATTTTTTTATTATATACATATGTACATCATGCCTTTTCATCATTTTGTTTTTGTTCAAAAAGGAGATAAAGTATTATTAAATTAATGTATATTTGTTAATATAAGAAATAAGATTAAGGTAACATATATTCCTTATTTTAGCTTAAATACAAAAAAAAAAAAAATAGAGCTTGTTTGTTAGCAGTTTAATAAATTTAATAAAACTCACAACTTATTTGCTTATTCATACATGCTTGTTTGGTAATGACTTACTGATATAAAAAGTGGTTTATTCTATAAAAGCTTTATGCAAAAAGCCAAACCCCCCCCCCCCTCCTCAAACTTGTCCATTTGAATTAAAAAAGCATGTTCCTTTCATTTATGAAATATCTTTTCAAACAAAAACCCTCTCAATTTATATAAGCATGCTGAAAACTTTATCCATATAAACACATGATTTGATGACATAGTACGTAACTCTAACATGGGCCGTATACTAACGCTTGCTTGATAAGTGTTTATCGGATAAATTTCTTCATCGGATGACCATGACAAGGGCCAAGAATATTACCGAGTAAGAGCGATTAGAAAGATGTAGAATCTTACCCGGTAAGTGAAGATGACGACTCTTACCCAGATAAGTACTTACCCGGTAAATTATTGCATTCGATACGTTTTGATATACTAAAATCTTATGCATCAAGGTAAATTATAAAATTGACTCCTATAAGTAAACACTTATCGGATAAACATTTGGGTAAACAATCCACTACACATATTTTACAATAAACATACATTTATTGTAACTAAAAGCAAAATATAATTACTTTATTCAATTAATTAATATATAATCAGTAATATTCCTTACATAGGTTTTCCCCCTTTTATGTTTCACACTATATTTAACCTTAATTAAACTAAGACGAAAATAATATAACCATATAATAAAAAAGATAAAATACAATTATAAGAGTGGTGTCTGATTAGTTTGAGCTTGTCTTCAAAAATCAAAAGTGCCTGGAGGTCCCTGGTTCAAATCCAAGAAGGAACAAAACTTCCCTTGTGGGCACGGAGGTTCAAATGCAGTGACGTCGGGCTACCTGCATAGCAAATAGTCGTCCTGGAATTAGTCGGTTCGCATATCGATAATAATTAATAAATCTTTTTATTTACAAAAAGGAAAATAATATAAAAATCCAGCCTATTTTGTCGGGAAACTTTAGCTAATTTACAAAGTTAGTCCCTACAAATAGTAGACCCACAATTTTGGCCCTTCTAGTTAACATGTCACATTACCCCCACCCATTGAAGTCATTTGAAAGGCACCCAAAAGATGTATGATTTTGGGGATTTTAGACCCCATTTAACTTCAATTATTTATTATGTTGTTTGGTACCTAATTTCCATTCAATTATTGATTTCACCAGTTTCTTGACATAACAAGAAATTAAGGTTTATTTTAACCAACAAAATTTGATTAATAAATACCATTTAATGGTCATTAATTGGGAAAAAAAGGATTAAAATTTTAAATTAACCATAAATTTTGAGAAATAAAATATTAAAAAATAATGATGAAAAAAGGTTACTTCTTTTGTTTTAGATATAATAATTATTGACCATTTATCACGATATTATTATAGCATTGTCAGAAAAGAATCATCACACTGTTATCATAGCAAAATCACATAATAAAAAGTATTTGATCTATTAAAATATTATCATAGCAAAATCACAACATTGTTGTACTGCTTTAATAAAACTTGATACTTTTTATTTGATTATCAATTAATTAAAGTAGAAGTATGTTATTCTTTTTTATGTATATTGTTGATTTAAAATTTGCATACTGTATATTTAGGAGGTGTTTGGGATTGCTTATTTGAAACAAGTTATGTTTTTCTATAAAAACATTTATCAACTTATTATAAGTCAGAAGAGTTTAACTTCTTCAAAAACTCCTTATTATCGTTATAAATTGTTTATCCAAAACTCAAAAATACTTATTATCGATGTCATACCGGAATAAATCACTAAATTATTTTTATAAGCAATCTCGAAACCCCTTAATTATTAATAAGCAAAAATTAAAAGTATTTAACTTTTAACTCACTCTTAAACTCACGTTCCACCCAAATACGAGAGAGAGATACAGAGAGAGAAAAAATATATATATATATATAGAGAGAGAGAGAGAGAGAGAGGAGAAGAGACGAGATATATCTATATCTATATATAGCCAGAGGGAGAGAGAGAGAGGAATAGGAGGGAGGGGGGGATACTTTGTAACGAAGGTTGTATGTGTGTATTATATGATTAAGAATGAAGGAAAAGCATTAAAGTTGTACGCCATAGCTATCATAATCGCACATGGAAATCTCAATCCTCAACGACATCGATCTCACGTAATCCGTTCTAGGGTTTCATGCTTCATCCCACCACTTCTAGATCTGCTTTTTGCATCTCAAATTTTCATTTCGATTTCTATGTTTATGTGCTTCAAACGGGTACGCTCTCAATTCTCTTTGCAATGTTCGTAATTTGCTATGTGATTATGTTGTGTCTGCATTATTCACTTGAGGTTCTTTTTCTCTTTGGTTCAAATTGTTAGGGATTTTGAGCAAAAACGATTGATCTGCATGTTCGAGAACCAATTGAATTTTTGAGATTTATTTGATCTGAACCGGACTTGTGTTTCGAAACGCTCCAAGTCTTGCTTCAAATTAAAGTTTTCCCTTATTTTGAGGTATTCATCTTTTGTGGTGCTAATATTTGTGTAAGCGTTTTTAGGGGAGATTTTTCAATTGGGAATCGAAAATGGTATTATAAGGCGATGACATTGCTTTCTGTGTTAATCACCATATATAACGCACGATGATAAATAAAGTATAAGCACATATTCAGATTCAAAGAATTGGAATCTGGAATCGTTTTTGAAGAATTAACTAGAGAGGGGCAAGTACCTGGGGCATCTGGAATTACACTTTCTTATCTGTAACATATCTAACTGCTTTTGTTTTTTTTTTGGTTTGTGTTTGTAGCATTTTGGTAATTAAATCTTGAGAAAAGTTGGCTCCCCAACGCCGATCACAGCGCCTCATGGGCGGCCAGATGCAACAGAGAAATGCTGCGGCAACTGCTCTGTATGATCAACCTGCGGATGGTGGGTCACATCAAAATGCAGGCCCTGCTAGTGATGCCGGTGATGCTGTGATGGCACGATGGCTCCAGTCTGCAGGGCTGCAGCATCTGGCTTCACCCTTGGCTTCTAACGGTATTGATCAACGTCACCTACCCAATCTTCTCATGCAGGTATTTTTGATTTCCTCTTTATGTTTCTCTACTGAAAGCAACTTACATCTGCTTTGTCACTTGCTTTTTTGGTGACTGCAATTCACTTAATGAAGAGTGATCCTACTTGCTGTTGTCATTGGAAATGATAGTTGAGATTACATGATTTATGTGATGTGTAGCTTGAAATGGAACCTCATCTTTATGCAATGGCTATGAAAGTTACCAAATAGTGAACCATTCATTTATGCTATCAAGTATCTGGCTGTAACCTAAATTTTGTTCACATACAATGCTGTTGTAATTTCTCCCTTCTCGTTAAATTTGCTGGTTTTGTATGGAAGGAAACTTAGCTGTTTGTGTGATGTCCCAAGAATAACAATTTTACAAAGTAAGGCATACTCATAACATAAGTGTTAACAGCCTCTTTCTCCAACTCCCTAAGAAACTCTTGTGGTGTCTTTCAAATTATATTTGGAATCTGTTTTGTCTATTTAAGTTTTATATTTAATGGGCCATCTTTACTTATATTTTCAGGGTTATGGAGCACAATCTGCTGAAGAGAAGCAAAGGCTTTTCAAATTTATGAGAAACCTTAATTTTAATGGGGAATCTGGTTCTGAACCCTTCTCTCCAACAGCCCAAGGTTCTGGAGGAATTGGTGCATCAGATGGTTTCTATTCTCCGGATTTCAGGGGTGATTTTGGAGCAGGGTTATTGGATTTACATGCTATGGATGACACGGAGCTTCTTACTGAGGTATGAATCTCATTGTTCAGAACATCTTTAGTGCTTCTGCAAGTTGCCTGTCACATACAACTTTATGTAAAACAAATTATTGGTTCATGTAGGGACCAGAATGGTTGCTCTGTGTTTTGAAATTGTTATGTGTAATGATTTGATTAAAAAAGCATATGTTTATTCCAGCTTGATTGTAGACTTTTTAGAGTACGTTTCCCTTATGCAAGATGTTCCAAATTCGATGCTGTCTGTAGCTTATCCGGAACACCTTTTTCTTGTCTGTGGACTTTCTAATTATGGGAGTAAATCTTGAATGTTTTTTCTTGGATGGACCATAGGCATCACTACTATGTGCACTTTGGAGGATACATTTTAAAGGATGTACTCGTACCAATATCAAGGAAGTAAAAAAATTGTGTTACATTGCCCAGCTCAGTGAGCCTTGATAAACTTTTAAGACGATAGAATCATAATACCAAGTAATTTTATGATAACTAGTCTATTAGAACTAACTCAGTGAGCCTTGATAAACTCATAAGATGATAGAACCATAACACCGAGTACTTTTGCGATAGCTAGTCTATCAGAACTGAAAATTCTATATGTTGCTGACAAAGAATATCTCTGTCTGCTTTCGAAGAATTGTCCGAGGATCCCTATGGTTAGAAAGTTCAGTTCTCAATTGGGAGAGTTGATTATGTCATGGACAATCGTTATTCTTAGTGTAATAGATTATACGATGCCTAGACGTGCCGAGGACATACACGTCTTTATAAAATAACTTAATAAGGTTCCTTGTAAAAGGTAATTACGACACGCACTTGCAAGTTCTTGATAAATGTTAACCTTGATGACTTGGTGTTCTTCCTTCCCCAAGCCACCATAAGCAGGTTTCCTTTGTTGAGTTTGAATGATGATGACTGATTGCTACTGTTCATTATGTTTTAAGAAGGTGCTTTTTTTTCATTTGTCCTGCATTCGTTAAGAAAAAACAAAGAAGTAGGAGCTTTATAATTGTCTTTCACATTTAGAACTTCGTTTTTGGCCACTTATTTCATCAAAACTAAGTATGATTAGATAGAAAGCACATGGGAACACAGCTGACTTGTCTATCTAATAAACATCATCAATCTGTATAAATATGGTGCAATAATTTAAACCTTGAACCCACATTAATTTCTGACAAAATGGTTGTTGGGATTACAAAGACTGTGGAATGCTAAGGTTTAAATACCTTTCACTTTCCATTTCTTCTTTCACTGCATTTTAGCTTTTATCACCATTTGAATCGGCACAAGAGGGGTCTAATGATCTATCTACTTTATTCTGTTTGTTTTATTCTTTTTACAGTTTTTATAATATATCCTCATCTATGATTGTTGTGAAAGATGTGAGCCAGTGTGAATACATGTCTCCTACTCTCCTATATGAGTTTTTTTTTTTGCATTTGGTGACTCATATATCGCACTTGCATTTGATATCTTCTTTTTTTGTTGCCAGAATGTTATGTCCGAACCATTTGAGCAGTCACCTTTTATTGCTGCTGCTGCTGCTAAAGCAGTTGAAAATGATCATGATGTCCTTCGCAGCCGGCAGCAAAGGGGACAAACAGATGTAGATGCTTCTTATGGGCTGCCAACACTTGAAAAAGAAAGCAATTCAAGGGAAAATAATGTGGCAAAGATAAAAGTTGTGGTATGTAGCTCCCCCTCTCTTGCACACATTAGTACCTCAATGCATGTGCAACAATTAGTTGTATAGTTAATTATTGGACCCCTTATGTTGATATAGGTGTTTTACGCTGCGCTCCACATTTCGCTTATGGTTATAATTTGGAATGACAAAAAGTTGAGGGTGACTAATTGTTATAGGAAGATGCCTCTTGTGTTATCTGAATGGTTCCATTATTCTATTCTTGCATAATTCAAATTATAATAGAAACCAAAATCATCTATTTGGTAAAGATGTTTGCATGAAAGCTCTGTTTAGGCCTTCTTGAAAATGAGTAGTTTCTTTTGCGATACCGATGCTATTTTCTGTAAGGAGTTATTACATGGTTCAAATGATTTGTGGGAGTCGAAAACCTTATCGTGTTGATTTTTATCTCAGGTCCGCAAAAGACCATTGAATAAGAAGGAAAATTCTCGCAAGGAGGATGACATTGTGAGTGTATGTGAAAACGGTCTAACCGTCCATGAACCCAAGCTAAAGGTCTGGCCATAGCTCTATAACAAAGCCTATATGAGTGTTAAGTTGGAATTATGTTAATTCATGTCTAACAGGAAAAACTAATGGTTGATTTTCTGAAAGGTTGACCTGACTGCTTATGTGGAGAAGCATGAATTTTGTTTTGATGCTGTTCTTGACCAGCAAGTATCCAATGATGAGGTAATGCCTTCGGCTCCACAGATTGATATAGAAGTCGTATTATCTTTTTCTCAAAAACCTGTTACTAAAAGCTTTCATGCAAATGCACCTGATGTATTCTGCAGTATTTGTTTTGTTAATCTTTGCTTGTTTCTGTTGCAATGTTGTCGGTGGATGAGTGTGTTGAAATGCTCCATTTTTTGCTACTAAAGGTTTAATCTATTGCTTCACTTGGAACAGGTATATCGTGAAACTGTACAGCCGATCATTCCTATCATATTTCAGCGGACAAAAGCAACTTGTTTTGCATATGGCCAGACAGGTATCTTAGAGGCTTTAGTTCATTATTTTTGTATATTGGCTTACTGTGTTATCTGAATGTCAGAGAATCCAGATAAGAATTTTGGATGAAGGGTTTGTGTTTCTAAATAATTGTAGTTGAACATGAGGCATGTAATTCAACAGATTGAAATGGTTGTTGGCTTTACGAGAGTCTATTTTTCTAGACTTCTTTTTATATTTATGCTTGTTATATGTGAGAAAGTGGTCCTATACCTTTCTTCACACATTTTCATGATTATTTATATAGAGAGATGGATGTAGGGAGGCATGCTTGTTCTCTTAGGCTTAAGTATAATGGAACTCACTTGCTTTGTAGGGGGAAGTAACATTCTGTTAATGTTATGTTAGGCAACGGGAGGGGGATTACAATCAATAATAAGTAATAGCTTCATGTTTTTCTTCTTTCTGTTTGATTTTCTAGTTTTGAATTGAACTGATTCTAAGAAGTTTGACCGATTGTTTATTGCAGGAAGTGGCAAGACTTATACAATGCAACCATTACCTCTTAGAGCTGCCGAAGATCTCGTTAGATTATTACATCAGCCAACTTACCGTAATCAAAAGTTCAAGTTATGGCTTAGTTACTTCGAGATCTATGGTGGAAAGCTCTTTGATCTGCTGAGTGATAGAAAGTCAGTACTCTTCTTGATAATTGGCTTCCAAGTTTCTTTTTTATCAGGAAATTTTTAAGAATTGCTTACTTAACTAGGTTGATGCTTAGTGTAAAGAGTATAATACCCCAAGTTAGTCGAGGAAAAGGCCGGAAACAATACCCCCATAGGAAGTTATGGAGATATTCTGTGTTTTTCTACTTTTTTCATTCAAATCCTCTTTGTGATGCATCTTCCTGCCACATGGCCCTTGTTTGGAACAAGCTATGTGAGGTTATGGAGGCAGAACTCTAGTAAAATGTAAAATACATCAAGGCTGGGAAATATTTTTGGTAGCTTGTATTGAAGAAATTTATTAGTCTAAATAGCATGTCATGAGAATGACCTAAAATAAATAGAATGAAATACAACAAAGGAAAAAAAAAAGTAATTTTCCCGCTTTATGTAGGAAACTTTGCATGAGAGAAGATGGACGACAACAGGTTTGCATTGTCGGATTGCAAGAATTCGAAGTTTTGGATGTACAGATTGTTAAAGAATACATTGAGAGGGGTAATGCTGCTAGAAGTACTGGCTCTACTGGGGCTAATGAGGAGTCTTCAAGGTCACATGCAATATTACAGCTAGTTGTGAAAAAGCACAATGAGGTAAAAGATACCAGACGGAACAATAATGATGGCAACGAGTCCAAGGGTGGGAAGGTTGTGGGGAAAATCTCTTTTATAGATCTTGCCGGCAGTGAAAGAGGCGCTGATACAACTGATAATGACCGACAAACACGGTAATGTGTACATATGGCAACTCCTTTTCTACGGGTTGAAAGTTTGTTTGGCCTCAATTGTAGGTTTAATTTGAGTTAAATTTGGTATCATGTTCAATATGCTTTATATAACACCTGTTCAATTCTTAACGCTGGTATATGGGTCTGCTACAGGATTGAAGGTGCTGAAATCAACAAGAGTCTTTTGGCTCTTAAGGAGTGCATTCGTGCACTTGACAATGACCAGCTTCATATCCCATTTCGTGGGAGCAAGCTCACTGAAGTTCTTCGTGATTCGTTCGTCGGAAATTCAAGGACTGTTATGATATCTTGCATTTCGCCAAATGCTGGTTCTTGTGAACACACTCTCAATACCTTGAGATATGCTGATAGGTGTGTGTTTTTGTTCTTTCCCGTATTATATATATATATATATATATTTGCATATGTTATATACTTAGTCTTTTACATCAAAATAAACAGAGTTAAAAGTCTTTCAAAAAGTGGAAGTTCGAAAAAAGATCAGGTTGGAAGCTCACAACCAACTACTAAAGACTCTTCATCAGCAAATATGCAAGTTCCTGGTGACACAGATGACATTTACGAACGATATCAAGAGGCAAAAGTTATTGATACGGGTAAAAGGGGCGCACAAAGAGAGAATATCTCTTACAATGCCACTGCAGATTTCGAGAAACAACGTCCTCCTAGTTCAAATTATTCCTTCACCAGTCGGGATGACAGTGTGCAGGATAAGGAGAAAGTTGATGCAAAAAATACCTTTAGTGGCTCAAGTAACCAGAAAGTAAACTCGACCCCAAGTTCAGTTGATACAGAAGAAATGGTGCAGAAGGTATCACCACCTCGAAGAAAAAATTACCGAGAAGAAAAATCAGAAAAGGTCAGTAACTGGCAGAAGAAGGATAGTGGTGATGAAAAATCTGATAAAGGTGGTTGGCCAAAAAGAGATGGTTCTAATATTGATCTTCCAACGATTGGTAATAAGCACCAAGGGTCAAGTATTCCTAGTTCCGGTTATATGGCATCAAAACAGTCAGAACCTGAGCAGCCTCATGATGAGAATATCAATGAAATACTTGAGGTAGGTAGTCAACCGTCAATTTATGATTTCATTATTTTGACCATTACCAACTGTTGCTAAATAAGTGTCCACTTAGGTATTTAAGAGCATCTCCAACAAATTCTCCAAAATGGAGATTTTGGGATAATTTTTTGCTCAAACAGATTCTCCAGTACTTCCTCCAAAATGGAGAAAGTAGGAGAGCGATGGTAAAATTCTCTAAATTTGGATAATCCCCTAAAACTGATTGCTTAGAAGAGAGAGATGATCTTTTATTATTATGTTCACCAATAGAATCCTTTGAAATTAAACATTTTAGGGGAGTGATATGATATTTTATTAAATGTATTGAGCATTTTAATGATATAACTAATCTTGTAATCTTCAAAATAGAGGACTGTTGGAGTTGAATATACTTTTTGAAAATTTTGATTTTGATTCTTTTGTTTTGGAGAATCTGTTGGAGATGCTCTATAATTTACTAAATTTCCAGCGGGGAGAGAGAGAGAGAGAGAGAGAGGGAAAAGGTTTATTCTAAGGGTAAAATTGTCATATTTGGTTGATTAAAAAGTGTAACAATTAATTACATGTTTCTTAACCATTTTCACATGCCTGGTTTTGCAGGAAGAAGAAGCTCTAATTGCTGCTCACAGGAAAGAGATTGAAGATACAATGGAGATAGTGCGTGAAGTAAGTGATCACTTGTGTCTAAATGTTGTTATTTTACTTTGAAATTAGTCTTCGTTTGGGTGTAGATAGCTACCACAACTTGTTTATCTATTGTCATTGGGTGATCATTGTCTTTTTGGAGAATGAATCAGATAGAGAGGAAAGGCAAGAACGAAAACTGGAGGACATTAGAAATTAATTCTGTAGTATTTGATGATGTTGATATTAATTAATTAACGTGCAGGAAATGAAATTGCTGGCAGAAGTAGACAAACCCGGGAGCCTGATTGACAATTACGTGACCCAACTGAGTTTCGTGCTTTCACGCAAAGCAGCAAGTCTTGTAAGCCTCCAAGCTCGACTCGCCAGATTCCAGCATCGACTCAAAGAGCAGGAGATTCTGAGTCGCAAGAGAGTACCTCGTTGACACAACACACTTTGCCAGTCTGCCTTGTAATACCCTTTTCCTCTGATTTGCACTTAATATTACGGCTTTTTTGGACTTGCATTATGTTCTTAAAATGAATTCTGATGCATTTCAATTGAAATGTTGCAGAAATGGTGTGGAGATGGAGACTTGATTAGGGTTGGGTGTTAGTTTGAGTGAGAGAGAGAGAGAGAAAGAAAGAGAAAGATATGTGTTTTGAATGATTTGAATTGGTGTTGTGGGGGAATTGAATGAATTAATGGGGATTGTAATGTAAAGTACTGGAAAACAAAAATCAAGAAACAAAACAATATCTGCTTCTGCTTCTGCTGCTGCTGCTGCCTGCTGCTTTTATATGTAATGGTGCATGAATTACAGCTTCCAACCTAAAACTTCTCGCCGTTTACCAAACGCTTACCCGAGTAAGTGCTTACCAAGTCACATTACCTTATAGGACCAAGAATCTTACCCGGTAAGTGAGGGCGATGACTCTTACCATGGTAAACACTTATCGGGTAAATTGTTGCATACGATATTGTTTTGGTGAACTAAAATCTTATTCGGTAGGTAATTGATAGTGTTAAATTTTACTGATAAACGCTTATTGTTGGGTAGGTGTTTGGTAATAAGGCCCCTAAATCATATTTACTCTCACAACAACACTAGACTTGTTATTATTTGATACATTACATACACTACAATATAAATGGAAAATGCATGAGAATGAGGAGGATTAGATTACATTGAGGCATGAAAAACATCCATTGCTTTATGGGGGTTGATGAGATGAGGAGGGGGTGAGGTGTTCTAAGATCATATTGGTCGAGGCTATTTATCAAACGTTTATCAAGTAAACGTGTTTACTGTTAAGAGTTATCATCCACACTTGCCTTTTGGGTACAATTCTTGGCCATCAAACTGACAAAGTAAGATTGTCGGTAAGCGCCTCTTACCCGGTAAATGCTAATTGGGTAAGAGTCATCATCGTCACTTAGCGGGTAAGTCGTTGGTTTTTGCCAGGTAAGATTCGTGGTTTTTATCATGCTCACCTACTAAGGTAAGTGACCGGGTAAGTGCTTGGTAAACGATTCCTAAGGTCACATGTACCCTGCTCTATGCACCTAAAATCACTAGCCATCCTCCATGAATTCGGGATAAATTTTTAATTGTTTTTCGAATTCAATTATTTGGCAACAATTATCAAACAAATTAATACATTGGCATCTCTTAATTCAGTTGCAATTTGCAAATCTTTGTAGATGGCTCTCGTAAGTCTTATGATACGTTTCTCGGGATAATTGGTTTTATATCCATCTGCAATTTACAAATCTTTAAAGTGTTGATTGAAATACTTTTTGAATTTGAGGATGAGCCTGTGTGAATGTCTCACTGTTTGTTTGTGATGCTGATATCATCAACATAAAGAAGCAGAAAAATGGTGTTAAGTATGAATCATTGTTCTAAAGAGGCCGAAATCATAGTTATAAGCGATAAAACCCAAGGATCAGATGGTTGTGCTCAATTTCTCAAAACATGCTCTCGGTGTTTAATTTGATATTTCGACCCTAATCTGTCTGGGTATCACGAAATTCCCTTGAGGCTAATCTCAAATTCTCATTCCCCATTTTTGGTAGAAATCATTCCCTTCTAAACTTAAAGAATGTTCGCCACTCTTATATTAATGCTGAGAATAACTCCCCATTAAATGGAAATAATTGTTGGAAATAAGTAGCGTGTGGTTACAAAATAGATTAGTTACAGAACTGATGAAAACCCATCGCCTGATAACTAATCAACGGGAAAAACAACAGCTGAAAGCAAACTCATCAACTGATGACCCCTATCAGTAGCAAAACCCATCAGCTGATATACCCATCAACGAATATACCCATCAATTGATATACATATAACCATACTCATCAACTGATAATATATCAGAAGCAAAGCCATCAGCTAAAGTACCTATAAGTTGAAACCTATCAGCTGATGTAACACATATCATCTGATAACACATTGATGCTAAACGCACATCCTATGCTCTTTTCAAGTGAAAAATGGACGGTCCGCGCACAACCTTATGTTTTTAAGAATGACTCGTGCTCATTTGATGACCAAAACCGCACGGCCTATGGCCATCTGCCACTTACAAACAAACCATACAAAGCCATCCAACGATCATGTGTTCTAGTTAGTTTACATGAGTAGACACTTCACACCTCCTAGCTCGTGTTATAACTTAACTACCAACCTCATTATTCTCTTCTGAATCCAATTATCTAAAATGAACCGATGATTTCACTAAAATCGCCAACATAGTTTGTGATTTTAAATTATTAAATCACGGTCCAAATTGCATCATACCAAATATTATTTTATATATATTTTTAAATCTATAGAGGATATATATTATCATTAATTAATTTAAAAATATTTGATACTTTATTGTTTATCCATTAATTTTTTCGGTTCTCTATAGTTTTTTTAGATTTTTTTTAACTATGTATTTCCGATGTATTTGAACTTTTTCTCGTATGGACTTATAAACATGTCATTGTTGAATTTATTTTTCAAAGCTATGATTTATTAATTATTGGATTAAAGTGCATTAGGAAAAAAAACCGCATAAAAATCACACTGTGTTTAGCAATGCAATTTTTTTGCCATTTGAGGTTTGGGAAAATGTTCAATCCGCAATCCGATATGGTTCGGCCCTAAATCATACCAAATCACACTGCAAACATGTTGGGAAATCTGGGTTTGTGGTTTTGTATTTTGTCCCTCTATAATGCCTCGAGTTTGCACATACTCAGTATTAGGATAATCCAGAAAATTCATAAGGCATAAATATATATATATATATGTGTGTGTGTGTGTGTGTGTGTGTATAGAGAGTTAGGTTAAGGGGAAAATCGCAAAAAACGAAAAACCGAAGAACACCTTAATAAACATTGATATACTCTAATCCAATGGTTATTAAAAATAACAAATTTAAACAAATCATTAAATGCAAAAAGGACAAGATGGTCCATTTCATTAATGGATAATCATTTTCATTTATCAAAATCATTCAATCAAAGGAAAGTTACCACAAATTATGGAAATTGCATTAATTCTCTAAAAATCATTATCCATCAAATAAGTATAAATTAGCTGGTTTAAGTTTCAGATATCAATGTCGTTGCCGTAACAAAATCAGGTTTATAAGATGTCACAAATTTTTGAGTGTCTCAATAGATTGTTTTATAGGACTTCAATTTATAGGACCAAACAAATATGTGTCATGTGCAATAAGTTTAGAAGGACACTTTTGAAATTAAGTGTCCTGTTAGCTTTTTTATATGACGTTTTTGAAAAGTGTCTTATAAAGAGACGTGTTTAATAAAACATTTCTCGAAAGTGTCCTATTAGACTCTTTTTTTGGGACACCTTATATTAAAAGCGTCCTAAAAAACTATTAAAGACTCCCAAAAAGGTCATTTAAACTTATTGCAATGGTTTTACATAGGGCATATTTGGTCCCATAAACTTAAATCATATAAAACATGACACTTAGATATTTGTGGTAACCTAAAAACCCAATTTGTTGTAGTGGTAATTGTTATATATAGGGTCAGGTTGTAGAACCTGTGAAATTCCTGATATAAGTTAGAACTCGGATCCATTTGTTGCAACAGATCTTGAAAGATAATTTCATTTAATTTCTTCTGTTTGTAACTTTTTATCCACATACGTACTAGAATCTGATACCGACAATTGTTATATTCATAGCATAATCTCCCACATAATACTTCAAACAAGACCACGCCAAAAGAGTATACATCTGACTCTGTTGTTAGCAATCCATCTCCATATATAGGCGATTACAATACCTAAAGGTACCTACAACATTACATACAAGAAATGTGTGTTGCTGATTAGCAGGGCATATTTTCGAGAGCCCAAAGTCAGAAACCTCAGCATTCCAATTCTCATCCCGTAAGATGTTAAGCTTTTTATATCGCAGTGCAAAACTCTATGTTGTGTCCCTTTGGGATCATGAAGATAACTTAGTCCCCTTGCAGACGCAAGGCATATTCTGAGACGTTGCATCCACATGAGCGTCGCGTCACTTAAATGGCGATCAAGGCTTCCACGAGATGCATACTCGTACATAAGGGTCTTCTCAGCATCCCCGTCACACTATCCAAGGAGACATATGAGATTTTTATGTGTGTAACGGGAAAGCATCATGATCTCCCTCCAGAACTCAGAGTTTTTTTTTGCCCATGCGACCATGCTTCGCTCCTTAGAGTGAGTGATTGTTCCTTTGTACACCTTCCCGAATCCACCACTTCTGATTAAGTTGTCGTCATGAAAGTTGATTTTATATCTTCCCGTTGGATTTTAAGATGTTGAAAGCCATCAAAGAAGAAGGCCATAATTAATTTGTTGATCAAATGATAAAAGGAGAGATTACAGAATCGAAATGAATGTTCCAAGTAATTGAATTGCAAGTGCACAAAGGAGATGTTAGAGGCCGTTTACCAAACACTTACCCGGTAAACGCTTATCGGTAAAATTTAACACTATAATTTTAATTAATTGGGTAAGATTGTAGTACATCAAAACGATATCGTATACAATAATTTACCCCGTAAGCGCTTACCATGGTAAGAGTTGTCGCCCCCACTTACCGAATAAGACTCTTGGTATTTGTCTCGTTCTTACTGGGTAAGATTTTTGGTTCATTACATATTCATACAATAAGATAATGTGACTTGATATTCACTTACCTGAGTGAAAATGCAATGTGTCTGGAAACTTTTGATCGTATTTATATTTATAACGCTTGGCCCAACACCGTAAGATTTGGAGAATACTAAAATCAAATCAAAGCACATCATTAAGTCAATACTTTCATTCTATGTATATTTATAAGTGAGATAATATATACTTAAACTACGTTTTTTATTATAAGTACTGCAGTAACCACAACTCCTATTAAGAAAAAAATGTATCATTTGCATTCATTTTGCCATATAATTTTACTAATTGGTTGGTTTTGATTTCAACCATGGTTATAGATTACAAATCATCCATCATCTTCTTCCAAACTATCATCTTTTCACCAATATGAGATGATGAAAGTCAATCTTATTTCAAGATTTGAGAAATATTCAAACCTCCTGTTGCCAAGTCATCATACTTGGTTTCACTTTTAGTTCTGCACTATAATTTTTATCATTTGATTGGTTTTGATTCCAACCACGATTATAGATTTCAAAAAGAGTCATCCACCTTTTTATACACTTCCCTGTGTTCAAATATTTCGACTCTTCATAAATGTGGGACAATAAAACTCAACCACAATTCATCATTTAAGAATACTCAATTTTCATGGTGTCATCTCAATACCCCAATATATACACACACACACACACACACACATATATATATATATATATACACACACACATACACACACACATATATATATATATATATATATATAATAACATTTGTTTGATTTTGATTCCAACCGTGGTTATAGATATCAAAAAGGATTATCCAAAATAAGACAATCCTATGAGACAAACCCCTTGATTTGATACAAAGACATCCAATCCACATTTCTTATATACTTCACTTTATTCAAATCTTTTAACTCTTCACCAATGTGAAACAACTATAACTCAACCATAATTCACCATTTGAGAATACTCGATTCTCATGATGCCATAATGATTGTGTATGTAATTATTTCGTTTGGGGGACCTAATCCATAATTTTATATAACTATGGGGATTAAATCTGTAATTTACTCTATATAATTACCAAAAGTGTAAATTTATAATTGATGACTGACTATAATATTTCAAGAAAAGAACACATTTTTTTCCAAAAACCCACACAGCTGAAATCGAAACGTTACCCCCAAATTCAGAATCCTTTCTCCCTCTCTCGTTCTAGGGTTTTATATGTTCAATGTGTTCCCTTTTGTATGCTGACAATCTGACACACAATTGCTTCACAGATTTTCTTTCTAGGGTTTGCAGAAAACCCTAGATCGCTGCGTTTTCCGGTTCGGATGGGTGCATTAACGAGTAATCGCAATAAGCGTGCCGCAGAATTTCAACCCTCACCACCATCTGGATCCGGTTATAATCTTCTTTACGTTGCGAAGAAACTCAAACCATCACCATCATCTTCGTCTTGTAAAGCTCCAACTCCAACGAAGACTTCAAGAAGTTCGGTTTCAAGGCTCAGTCTTTATCCTCAGCAGGTAACACCGATTGCCAGAGAAATTCATGCTCCTTGTAGAGTTGTTAGTGGATTTAATGGTAACTTGAAACGGGGTAATAATAGTCCTAGTATAATTAATAGACAGAACTCCGATTTTCCTGGTGACGGTATGGATAAAGATCTGTTTTCAAAATACACTCTCGCAAAGGAATCTGCAATTGGTAGCTGCAGGCATGTTGTGTTTGAAGAAGAGATGGATGTAGTTGAGGTGATTGATGTTGATAACCAGGGGACCGTTAAGGATGACAAGGCTGCTTCAGGGAGTTCAAGTATTGAGGAGGTTGAAATGGTGGAAGATGAGAAAGAGGATATCCATAGGTCAGGGGAGGCACAAGAAATAGCAGCCAAGTATAGGGAATTGGATCAGAAGGCGCCCTCTACTTCTTCCGAGGTGGTATCTGAGTTGACAAATGGAAAGATGTTGGAATTGTTGTCGCTGAACAGGGAGTCTAAGGTTTTTGATGTAGACAGGGGTTTGCCTGTGCATAAGAAGTTGCATCAGGAATCTGCTGAAAAACGTGACCCTCGGCTGAGGAGATTAAGTTTTAGTATCGAGCTATATGAAACAAAGCGAGCTTTGTTGATGCAATCTCATCCTGCTAAGAAAAAGGAGGTATACAGTTTGTGCTCCATGTCCGTTGGAAGTTAGCTTTACATATTCATTGGATGTTTCATATCAACTTGCTTTATTTTCAGGATGTAACAGAAGCTCCTTTCATGCCTCTTACGGAGGACGAAGAGGAAATGGTTGATAATGCACTGTCTAATTCTTATCGGTATATTTTGATGTTTGTGTTTATATTTGTATATTTAGTATACCACTTGCATATCGGTTACTTTACTTGTTTTGCCATCTGATTTGTTGATAAATGGATCTCTGAATTTATAGGAGGAAGATCTTGGTCACACACGAAAAATCAAATATTACAATCACAGGGGAAGTTCTGCAGTGTTTGAGACCTCGGGCATGGTTAAACGATGAGGTGATTGTCAATTTCAAATTTTATATATGAATTAAAATTAACATCATACATATGCAAGCTTACACTACTATGTCCTTATTGCAGGTCATCAACGTTTATCTTGAGTTACTGAAAGAGAGGGAAAATAGGGAGCCAAAAAAGTTTTTGAAATGTCATTTCTTCAACACATTTTTCTACAAGAAGGTTGGTTAATCCCATAACTTTTCTATCTTTTCTTATTTGTTGATTTGGCCATGTTGTCATATCTATATCTTAAGATAAAAAGGCTGCATCACAGGTGTTCAGCTAAGAGGGGGTGTATCTTGATTAGCATTACTACTTAACCATAAGATGGCAACCTCCATTGCATTAGACATTTATTTGACATATTGTGTCTCTTGTAAGTCAAGTTTGTCAGAAGAATTACCAACTCACTTGTTTTTTTACTCGGTAAATTCTTGCATATCTTCATTTCCTTTTGAAGTTTTAGATGTAAGTTTACCATTTCTTTAAATCTTTTGACATTGCTGATTAATTGCTATTCTCCCACACATCTGGATTGCTTCAAATTCAGAATTGAGGATCTGTCTGGTGAATATTGCTTCATTATGTTATGAACTTTAGTTCCAATAAAATAAGGCAGATCATGTTAGGACTCCGTGCTTGCTAAATTCTAATAATGTCACTCTGATTTTCCATGAGTACAATGACTAAGAATTTTTTCCTAGACTGCCCCTTCTAAAACCCTTCATTCTAAATGAGTTGCATACATTAGTTGTGGACTCGTGATTGTTACAAGCAAACAAATTGTAACTGGAACTTCCATTTTCCTTCCAGACTTCATTATTCTTCATAGTTGTAGTATGTAGTAATTTTTCTGTCGTTTATGTCTAGGATTACTAGGTGTTTAATCCCATTTGCTCCCCTGGCTTTTGTCTTGCTCTCGCAGTGTCAACATCAGCCCCTAGGTTTGATCTTTTAGAGTTGGACTTGTTTCTCATTGAGGGTGTAGGGTACAAAGTTAATCATATAGAGAAAGATATACAGAACACAGGAAGTCCTTAAATAATGTTAGTTTTTAGGTGAAAACAAATGGTTTAAGGGCAAGTGAATGAATTTGGTAGGACTAAAGAAAACTAAGGCATGTAAAACTAGTAACCATTATTCTCCTTCTGAACTATGTGGATTGATTTAAAACGTTTATTCTCTACTTCAGACATCAAAAGATGTGCACATCTGAACATAAATGTTTTCTTTTAAATCTCAATTCAATTTAAACTTTGCTTAATTTGCACTGGAAAATATCTCCATTCTCCAGTCAGACATTATTCTGTAAGCACCCACAACATGAAATCATTTTTAACAATTCAAAGATGACAGAAGACACAGTTTGTGATTGAACAATCTCTATCTATTTCCTTTTTTAGTCTGATCCAATTTTTGATTAAGGTATGCACATCCAATTTCAATCCTGAAGTCCATTACATGAATGAAAATGCTTAACTTGAGTTACATTTATTGTTCTATTTCTATCAAATTAGAGCACATTTGACTATGGTGTCTGAGCACCAAAGTGAAACCTCTACTTCAACTTATTATATGGCATTACTTTGTTTATGCTAAACAGAGCACAACCTTTTCAGTATCTACAACCATTAATATGAACATATAGATTATGAAACTATATCAACTTTAACATGTTTATGTTAAGCAAACTATTAATTTGGTTACGCTAAAAGAAGCACAACCTTTTTTATTCCAAAAGTTCAGAACATGCCTACTTTTCAGTAAAAACGGATTGTCTCAAAATTATCATTTTGTTATATTTGTGTGCTTTGCTTCAAATGGTTAAATAGTCATTTCTCATGAGTCATGATAAACGTGCACAAGGGATCCATCAAAAATCTTCAATTCTTTATCTTCAGGAACCCATTTTATTTAGACTTGGGATCGATTGGTATCATGTTTAGGGGGTAGAGAAAGAAAATGATAGAGGTGGCTAATGCAAAAGCTGAAAACTAGTATTACATGTAATTGCAAAACCATCCTATCTTGTGGTACTCATAACAAACTCAGATATATTATTTTTGTCAAGTTGCAAGCATACGCTACATAAATATATGGAGGGGATCATCTATATTGGAAGCTCATTGTGTTGATTAACATACTTTAATCTCTTTCGCCTTGTATCATCTTTTTGGGATCTGAGGGTGGTAGAAAAATCTTCTCTACCTTGTTTGTATAACTTTGCCATGGTTTGTGGGTATTTATTCCGGTAACACCTGACATTTATGATTATATTTTTTGTTCGGCAGTTGGCAAGTGGAAGGACTGGCTATGATTATAAGTCAGTTAGAAGATGGACTACCCAGAAAAAGTTGGGATACGGTCTTCTTGAGTGTGACAAGGTAAATTTTTAATTGACTTGCTATTTTTACTAATTGCTTTGTTGCTTTTTTTTCCGGGTGTGCTAATGTTAGCTATAAGCAGATATTTGTCCCCATCCACAAAGAAATACACTGGTGTTTGGCTGTTATCAACAAAAAAGAGGGAAAGTTCCAGTATCTCGACTCACTTAGAGGAGCTGACAAAAAAGTATTGAGAGTGTTGGTATGTACGCTTACACGTCTTGTCTCAGAACAATTTTTTTTATGTATTTATTAGTGTGAAATACCGGAAAATCTTTTCTTTTCTTTCTGTTGGAAGTGAAAGTCCACTTATACGTCTTGGATCTTTGTTCGGTTTAATACAGTACTACTTTCCTTGCATGCTTGGAAACTAGCTTATTTGGGCTTACTGAGAAACCCTGTTTGGTTAGCTATTTCCACCTTTTCCAATTATGCCCCTTGTATGTTTCTAATTAAATTTGTAACATGTCCTTTTAGGTCTAGTTTTTATCGAACACGACTATCTTATCAGCCAACAACTAGTTCGCCAAACAGTCTTAGTATGTTCGTGATGTTAATTTATTTGCATGTGCGAAAATGTTCTTTTACCAATTTAAGAAGGTTTACATGATGCAGAGTAGTTTATATATGCATGCATGTTTCATAGCTCTCTATGTTGTGAATGAAGCTTATGCATTGCTTATGTCTCCAGGCCAAGTACGTCACGGATGAAGTGAAAGATAAGACTGGGAAAGACATTGATGTTACTTCTTGGGATCAAGAATTTGTCACCGACCTTCCTAATCAAGAGAATGGGTGTGTATACTATCGACTTCCTTCAAGTCATTATGTTCCAATGCTTAACTAAAAAAGAAAGATTATATTATTTGAAGGTTTCTGAACATTTTTCCTGCCAAATTTTTTTGATAACTGAACAGAATAAGATACTCATATAGGCCTAATGCATCTACTCTACATGTTCAAAAGTCCATACAAAATGTTTTCCTTTTTTGCTTAATGACCTTTTGATCATTATTATGTTTCTGGGCAGGTTTGACTGTGGCATGTTCATGATCAAATATGCAGACTTCTATAGCAGAGACATAGGTCTCTGTTTCAATCAGGTAGGATATTACATAGCAGCTTTATTCTTTGTGAGGGTAGTTTCGTCTCCATGGATGCACATTTTAGAAAATTATTTTTTGCAATTGCTTATTTATCTTTACACTCTAATTTTACGTAGGATTTGTTTTTGGGACCTTACTATTTTCCGTATCTACTGTTTTCCTTATCCCCTCATCCGTGTAAAACACAAGTAGTGAAGTAGTCGTTGAATTCACTTCTTTTCCCAAATTCCATGTATTGTCAAATTAGCAATAATTGTGGGGGCGGTAGTAGAAAATTTGAACTCTCTGTAAAATAGATTGTTGCCACATTATCCTAATTTAGAAATGTTGAAGAAAACAAATTACTTACACCCATCAAAATTGTATCTTTTCGGGTGTGGTTTATGGTTCTGCTTTAAACCTTCTTGTGGAAAGAATTGAACTGAAAGCTTAACAAAAAATCTACATCAACGTTCTACAAACAGTCGGTATGCTTGAACTGAAGTCTTTCTGAAACACATATGGGGTACTTCAGCTTACTTATTTTGGTGATGTCACATGTCACAATATTATATATATATATATATATATATATATATGTGTGTGTGTGTGTGTGTGTGTAAAGTGCATCCTTTTACAAGAGTTGGGTTTTTGAATATCTAAAATTTGTTGATGTTTTCTTGTAGGAGCATATGCCATATTTTAGATTGAGGACTGCCAAGGAGATATTGAGATTGAAAGCGGACTGAAATCCATGATGTATTCCAAGTATGGTCTCTAACCGACAATTATTGGATTGGATAAGTTTCTACCCATATTCCTGAAACATGTTGATCCATATTTTGGACGGACGGGTCATTTCCCATATCAACCAAGTGTTTCACAATCAGGTCAGAAATTGCTGCTCTTTTTGTAGTTAGAGCTTTTGAGTTTTATACTGGGAATGCCAGTCATTAGAATAGGAAGCCGAACTTCTCCATGAAGGGCTTGTTTGTCTTTTATTTTTAGTTGTTTTTTAGTTCTTAGTATATAATATATATTTCTGGTTTTATTCATATAAAGATTATAGATCTCCACATTCCACAATTGTAATCAGGAGATATCTTTGTGCCTGTGTAAGATATGAGACCTCTTGTGGTCTCTTTATGCGTTAATCTCCGTTATTCATGTGATACTCATTTCTATGAGATAAGTGATTTCGAAAAACGAAAGGGGATCAAGGGTTCAAAGGTTAAAACGTTTTGGTGGGTCCCATGGGGGCCCTAAAGATATAAGTCAGAGAAATCTTTAGTAGCCTTGGACAGACTTGAATGGATGACCTATGGGTTCGAGTATAGTTCATGATTGGGGGTAAGTTTTGATGTGTTACTAATGATAACAAGGTTCAAAGTCGATTTGTTGTAGATTTGGACCTTACTGAAGACTGAAGGCCATCGACCACAACCATGGAAGGTGGTTGGTTTGGGTTTGATGAAAAACCCCACGTAGGGGCTATTTTGGGTGCGTTTTAACTTACAAAAGTAATCAACCGATTCGTGGTATTATGGTGTCATTTGGTAAAAGTATTTTGGCCAAAACTGAGTTTGGAAGCGAAGCCTGTTTTCAACTATTGGCGAAAACGGAGTCCAAGTTTCGGTAATTGCACTTTTGGTCTTAGATTTAAATGTTGTTTCAATAGTCCTTGAACAATAGCGTTTCTGGATGTGGCAAGTTTAGCCAATGTCGTTAAACGTTTCTGGTCAGAAACGATAAATTGCACAGAAGTTACTTTTTAGCCCATATAAATGAGGTTCAGTACATAATAACCCTTGTATTTTACAATAACAACTTATTCGGTCGATTATATACGACTGTTCTGTAGTAGCTTAAGATATATAATGTAGCTTATTCAATAAGCATGTGGGGGAAAATTACGTTATTTCAGACCTACCTTTTCTAATTAAAAAAACACGTTTCTTCTATTTATAAAAATACATTTCCAAACAAAAACTTTTTTAACTTATACAGACAGGTTAATTCATATATGTAGTTTTATTCATATAGGACTTGATGGAAAACCAACCAAATAGTTATTTTAACCCTGGTTTGAGTTGTTTATCGATTTTGGTACGATGTGAACGGTTTTGTTGGCTTAAAACATTATATTTGCCAAACTAGCATTTTTGGTTTGACGTATTTTAAAACGGAACTAGCTTAATTTACAGATGGGCAAAAAGGTTAACCGACCGGGCTTTTAACTGGTTCTAGATAAAATAATTGTAATGAGCAACCAGTTGGACCGGTCGGTAAATAAAATTATATAAAACTTGTAGTAATAATCGGCATCTCATGCTTCAGTATTGGCAAGTTAGACACAAAGTAAACTTGTGTTGTTGGTGGAGTTGTGGAATATTGGCTTCTCTCTATACTGGTTATATCGTCGTTAATGTAGGAAAGTACATTTTCTACTGATTGTGTATCTTGACATAGTTATCCAAGTAATTCTCGAGGCAAATAGAAACCTCGATCAATTTTGAGTACTTTTTTTCAAGACCACCATGCCACTATGTCAAAAAACGATTCGAAGTTATGGTGACAGTTTGGACGGTTAATAAATCTTTCGCGTTTCAAATAATTTGTATGGATTTTTTTTGATTTGTTCTCTTGGAAATGTATGATCTTCTTGGCTTAGATTTAGGGGACGTCTACCAAATGCTTACTTGGGTAAACACTTACCAAGTTATATTACCTTATCAGATGAATATGATAAGGACCAAAAATCTTACCTGGTAAGAACGAGGCAAGGACCGAGAGTCTTACCCGGTAAGTGAGGGCAATGACTCTTAACCACAGTCAGCTCTTACTGGATAAATTGTTGCATAAAAAGCCGTTTTTATTGACTAAAATATTACCCGATAATAAATAATAGTATTGAATTTTCTCGATAAATGCTTATCGGATAAATGTTTGGTAAACGTTACCTTAATTTCTCATCACATATATATTGGTTACCACCTTTTAACCACTTTTTAAAATATTTCTTTACTTCTTTTTCATGCATGAAACCATTTGGATCAAATTCTTTTCATTTCCGAATACATAAATAGAGTAAACTACAATTTTGGTCCCTCTGGTTTACATATTGCTTTAGATTTGGTCTATGCATCTAACTTTGTTAGTCACTCCGTTAGTTGAAGGGCATTTTCTTCCTTTTCTTGTTTTTTTCCTTCAAATAAATTACAAAATATTACATTAAATTATTTTATGTTATATATGTATATATACACACACACAAATAAACCCATCGAGACAATCATAAGGGTGGTGGCTAATTGGTTTAAGCTTGACTCTAAAGGTAAAAAGTACCTGGAGGTCTCAGGTTCAAATCTAAGGAGAAATAAAAATCCCCTTCTGACCAGGGAGGTTCAAATGCGGTAACTCCGGGCTATCTGCAAAGCAGGTGGTCGTCCTGAGATTAGTCGGCTCACATAACGGGTTGAATATCCAGGTTAATTAATAATAAAAAAAAAAAAACAAACCCATCGAGACCCAAATCCACTCCGGTGGTCTTCTCGGACATCCCCCTCCATCACCAACCAACATCGAGACCCTACCTTTATTCTCTAACCTTCCTTACCTGTGAAGACATCAAGACCGAAGCTTTCTGCCATGACGAGTTCGTCCCATACCCAACCTCCAGACCTGCAACATACATACACACACTGCACACACATACAAGAAACAAGGTGCACATACAGACAACCTATCTATATAGATTCACACACACATTCATGTATATATATATATATATATATATATATATATATATATAGACTAGAAAGTACTCTGTTTTGTTTTATTTTTTTGTCTTTGTTGATATAATACGATTTATATAATTTCAAGAAAGATAATGTTTTTACCTTTAAATAAAAATAAATTTGAAGACATCATAAATTTTTTAAAAAATATATCGATATAATTTATTTAATTCATTTTTTAATTATAATTTATTTTAGGTCAAATAGTGAAGTAATTTGTTTTTGGCTTAACAATAAATTTTTTATAAAGATAATGATTCTGTTAGAACTCGATAATTATCTTAATTATATTTTAGATTTTTTATATTTTAAAATGAGATGTTTATCCTCTATTTGATTATGTTTATCCGCAGTTAGTTATACGAATTCAAACATGGACCTCTAATAAGTTGTACTTATGCATAATTTACTTGTAATATTGAATTTTAAGTAATATGCATCAATATACAGTACTTCATGCATAAAAAATGGTTTTTAAGAGTTTTTGTCAAATGCTTTATAATATAGTGTATATATATATATACACACACATTGATGCACACACTCAAAAACCAAGACGAATTGGGTCGAATTGATGTATTCGGATGAAATAAAACCGTACTTATTGAAATATAGAAATTGACCAAAATTATAGTTTACTCATACAAATATGTTTAAGCACACCACAACAAAATCGGGTTTATAGGACATTTCCAATTTCTAAGCGTCCTAATAGACATTTTTATAAGACTTAGTTTTTAGGACCAAAAAAATAAATTTGTAATAAGTTTATATGACGTTTATTGACGTCGTAAAAAGTTTTTTAAGACAACTTTAATATAAATCGTCCTATTAACAACTTTATATGACACTATTTGAAAAACTGTCCTATAAAAACAAATGTCCTAAACAACTTGTTAAGACGTCCAAAAGCGTCACATAAACTTATTACAACACCTTTAGATAAACGCTTTATATATTGGTCCTATAAGTTAAGTCGTATAAAGCGGTTTATTGGGACGTTTAGAGATTGGAGGTGACGGGGTGTCATATAAATCCAGTTTTGTTGTAGTGGCCGAATGTAGATTTAGATAATTCTTCTCCTAAGTGGGAACCTAATTGCTCAAACACAACTGTGTGTTTTATATATATCACGGTCCACGTCAATGGACCATGAATCAATCCTACAAACCGTTACACAAAGATGCAAATGTGGTAAACTGCGTCATTGAAGGAACTCTTCCTCTAATTACTTTATCTACGAATCTTCATCCTCCCTAAATCATTACAGATGTTAACAGAGTAGCAGGTTGTCCGAAACACAGGTCCTACGTTCGACCCCAAAGCCCCGCTAGCCTCTACCGCTGAATGAGCCAAAAAATACCCCCGACATTGGTACCTTTGGAGACGGTTTCCATGTGGGGCCGGGCCGGTTGAGATTGTCGGTAATCGAAAAATTGCTATGTTTTATATGTACTATACATATAAATTTTAATAAAGAGTTTTCAGAATGTTATAGTATTTGAAACAAAACAAAATATTGGCTTTATAAATTAATCTTAGACGATTCAACACGTTAACGACAACAAATGTCTTGGTCAAATATAAAGACGTGATACCCACTCTCAAATTGTTTACGTAATTATATGATCACGACATCAAAAGGTCGACTTTGGGCATCTGGTCCCAATTTCATGAGCTACATTACCATCTCCTTTCTACTTCTGCACTTGAAATTGCTTGCAACACTTCATTTCCCTTTTCTCATATCATTTGATCATGGCCATCTTCTTCAATGAGTTCAAACATCTTGTAATCCAACTGGAAGAAATCAAATCAGCCACCGATAACTTTGGTGACAACAACTTAATCGGAAGAGGTGGATTCGGGAAGGTGTACAAAGGAACAATCTCTCACTCTAAAGGGACAAGCATGGCTGCTTTTAAGCGTCTTGACAGCAAATATGGGCAAGGAAACTCCGAGTTCTGGAAAGAGATCACGATGCTTTCCCGTTACACACATGAAAATCTCGTATCTCTCCTAGGATATTGTGACGAGGGTGGTGAGAAGATCCTTGTGTACGAGTATGCATCTCGTGGAAGCCTCGATCGCCATTTAAGTGACACTGCTCTCACATGGATGCAACGTCTTAGGATATGCCTTGGTGCTGCAAGGGGACTAAGCTATCTTCATGATCCCAAGGGGACACAACAAAGAGTTCTGCATCGCGATATCAAAAGCTCCAACATCCTATTGGATGAGAATTGGAATGCTAAAGTTTCTGATGTCGGGCTATCAAGAATAAGCCCTGCTAATCAACCTCACACAATTGTTATCTCTAATATGGTTGGTACCCTTGGGTACCTAGATCCGTTGTATCTGGAGATGGGTTTGCTAACAAAAGAGTCCGACGTATACTCTTTTGGCGTGGTGTTATTTGAAGTATTATGTGGGAGATTATGCTTTGAATTCATTGATTCTCGATATCAGACTCTAGTACATACGTGGAAAGATAGCTACAAAGAGAAGAAACTAGATGAGATTATCTTTCAAGATATGTTGCAGCAAATGGATCAAAGTTCTTTGGAAACGTTTTCAGACATTGCATATCTATGTTTGCACGAATCCCTTGAAGGACGGCCAATGACGGCTCATGTTGTGAATGAACTTGAGATTGCACTTGAACGACAGGTGACTTATGAACAACAGAGAGACCATGAAGATATGAATAGGGACCAGACCTGCTTCTCTGGAAGAAGTGAAGTACCTCCCCTCATCTACATACCCAAAGAGGAACCAGAAATGCTTCTCTCCAAAGGGAAACAGGTAATTAGACAATTTCTATAAGTTGCTAATTGTATGTAGTCTTGGGCTCTTGGGATATGATGTGTAGGACTAGGAAAGATGTATAGAGGGTATGAAGGTCCTCATAATCTGATGTCAATTATCTTGACTCTTGAAATCATAGTTTCTGTTGTTGGGTGTTTAATTTAAGGATGATTTGTATGTGATTTGACACAGGAGGAGATGGGTAGGCCATATCTGTTAATTTTATAAGTTATAATTTCAGAAAATAAATAGTGCAGTTAGTTATTGTGGAGTAACAGTTTTATGACAGTTTGTTTCTGTCTATTAAC